CTGTGGTCACAGTTGGTGTTGCAGACGTTTATGCTAAAATAATAGTGTTATTGCTAGGATTTGTGAGTTTCATCCTTCTCTGTAAAAAGGCTGTGGTGGCAGTTTGAAGGGTTAATTGCATAATTACCCTAACCCAGTAACAATCGCTCTCAGGCTGCCAGCACATAGATTGTGGTCCCAGGAGCTGGAACATTTTTGTGCAGGGTGTAGCTGAGAGTGGAATTGTTAGGTAAGTGACAGCACAGTGTGAGATTGGCTGGTCCTTTGTTACGAGTTGGTGAGAAGGGCAGAGGTCGAGCACCATTTTGCTTCACAGCTCTAACCATTGGTTTTCTCAATGTTAGGAGCGTATGTTCAAGTTCTAGAAGAATGGCTGTGTTTTGACTGGCTAAGTAAGAGCAATGTATATGTGATATGTCTGCACGGGTGTGGAACAGTTAAAAATCCCATATCGGGCGAGAGCCAGTCCCCAGATCTCCAGCCAGGGACAGCCCCCATATCCAGAATAGAGACAGCCCTATATATCTGGCAGAGACAGTCCCATAAATTCAGCAATTTAGCAAGCAGACATCCCCATATATTGAGCAAAGAGACATCCCAGTCCAACAAAGAGACAGCCCTGACTGCCAAAGAGACAGCCCCATCCAGCAAAGAGATAGTTCAGCCCAGCAAAGACAGCCCCGCCAGCAAAGTGACAACCCAGTGCATCAAAGAGACAGCCCAGCACATCAAAGAGATAGGCAAAGCATAACCCCCATTCAGCAGCATTGTCACCAGAAAACTTGTTTCCACAGCACACAACAGTTGACAGAAGGAGAAGGGGGACAGGCTAATTACCTCACCCAATCCAATGATCATCAACGCAGCAGTGCGACACCTTGCTCTCACACAGCAGTTTGACAGGTGCCAAAACAAGTTTCCAGTCAGTCTGCAGGGAGAGGTGGAGTGGAGATCACATGGCTTTTTTTTTTTTTTTTAAGTCCGCAAACGTGCGAAAAACAAAAAACCAGTAAGTGTACAAAAAAAGCGTGCAAGTGTAAAATCACAAAAAAGTGCACTTAGGGGTGTGCTTTGTCCATCCGCCGAAGGGGATGTACTTCTACCCTGATCCCCCGGGGCACGAAGCTCCTGACAGGGACAAGGTTCCCATGTGGTTCATCTAGCCAAAAGGCCTGGGGGACCCCAATCCTTGTGGCCAGCCAAATCCAGCCACCAAGTACTTGGTAAAGGGGCTCTCCCGAAGAGAAAAACCCCCTAGGAATAGGGGAAGAAGGAACCAAAAGGCCACACATCCTCCCCCTAGACTTCAGGGTAGGCCCGAGGACCCACACCCTACCATCCTGTGAGAAATAAAACACACACAAAAACACACAAAGTGAAAAGTGACAAACGTGGCCTTCTGTTTGCTTGAGCTGTAGCTGTTTGATCATTTTGCAGCCATGGTTTGCTTTGTTGCAACCAGCAGCAGCACTACCACAACCACACAGTAAAAGACAGAGGGAGAGTGCTCTGGAAGAGCCTTTTGCTTACTAACCATGAGCCTGACATCTGAGGAGGCTCTATTCTTTGGTGTGTTCCTGGTGGGGGGGACCGTTGGAGTAGTTTACTTCAAATTCAAGTCCATGTCTCCACAAAACAGACAGACTCTGAGAACTGGAGAATCAAGATACAGATTTGGGGTCTCTGTGCCCAAACTAGCATTGACTGCTTCAACCCCTCTCCTTCCTAGACACAGAGAATTTTAATAAACAGCAAAACGACCTCATGCTGAGGACTCTTGCTCTAATCTGTTTATTAAGGTGTTATGTGTTTACTATCTTCTCCCATTGTGTGTCTCCCAGGTGTGTATTACCATTGTTAATTGAGTTATTTGAGTCACCAATTGTTTGTTGGCAAGTCCTTCTGGAGGTGCCTACATGACAGGATTAGACTGATGTCAGCTTCACCTCTTTATCTAATCAGTGTGGGATGTTTATACTAAAGTGAAATAGTTGTTTTATTGTTCATGAAGGGATGGGCTCTATTTCTGGAGTGTATAAAAACTGTGTTTTCAGTTCAATAAAGAGTTCCAGTTTGGCATCTAAGCTAGTCTTGTCTAGTCTTGGGTGCAATCCCCAGCTATAATACCTTGGTCCTGTGTTCCAGTGGCAAGGAAGCAGTTCTCTGATGTAATCACCCAATCTGGGTAACAGGCATTCCGTCACAATGTTTGTACCCTGTGTTTTTTCTTGATCATTATTATTGGGTATCTTTTTGAATTGGAGGTGGGAGTGGAGTTTGACAGAGTATGATAAATGAACTGTTCAGTATACAAGGACAAGACGGTTTATTTTTTTGTTCTTCTTTTTCTTTTGATTTCTTTCTTTTTTTTAATCCTTTTTTGTAACGAAAAAGGAATTGGAAGATGTGCTGAGGGGGTGGGATTGGACGAAAGGAGATTGTGATTTTTTAAGAAAATTGGCCTTCAAAAAGCAAGGGAGAGGCGGGACGTGCAGAGGAACTTGAAGGAGAGGTTGCAGTTTCTTTATCAATGCAGGTGGGTGGGGTTAGAGGTGGAAGACAAGTTGAAGGAGGTATGGGAAAAGAGAAACAATATGATTGAGAGATGAAGAAGTATTGTTTTAAGGACAAATATTAAGAATATGGAGGAAAATTTAAAATGTTTCAGGTTCTATTTCAAGAAAACTTTCAGCCCTAGTAAGATTATGAAGATTATTTTGGATGGACAGGAGGAGGTTGGTGGAAAGAAAAGAGTGCAAAGCTTCTATGAGGGTTAAAACGGTGATAAAATTAAATAAATAGTGCCGATCTGGCCAGCAGCCTTGTGGCCTAGCCCATAGAGCAGCAGTGCAGAAAAAAAATCATAGTGACCTAACCTTGTGCCATTTCATGCAGTAGGTTTCCCAGGCTCAAGTGTTACTAAGAGCACCCCTGGGGAGACCAACTCTTAAAGGGCACAGACACAGCAGGTTTTCTGACTTGCAAGACCAGGTAGACTCTTTCAAATTAGGAGGCATGTGGCCCTTCCAGTCTTCCTGGAGGAATTACTCCCACATCCAACCATCATACCAGCAAGGATACCATACAGCCAGCCATTCCTATCAAAAAGGCAATAATGACAGCATAGCCTTCCTACTGGATACTAATAAGAACAGATTTTTTTTGGTGAAAAAATTATACTTTATTTTATATAAAAAACAAGACATTTTATAGGGGCACATTCCACCCTGTACTGCAATGCAGCGCAGGCGTACACTACATTACAATACAGTTCCAGTCACACAATAAGTACATTCACACTGCAGTATGATGCCTAACGTGTTGAGCAGAGCAAAGTTCCCTGAACCATCAAATCATGCATGATGCAGCTTACCCTAAAAACATTGTGTGATCCCTAAGGTACCACAGAAATACCTGGTGGCACAATGTCAGGGTCTCAGTTAGACCCTTATTCTGCACTTCCTACAGGGCACTGCAACTAAAACAAACCATGCAACATTTAAAGAAAAAAAATCAATATCAATAGGCAACAGGTATGATGAGGAGGGGGAAAAGGATTCAGAGGCACAAAGGTTTATTGAAAGGACAAAAACACACAAGGGAGGGGGGAACTCTTCAGATGCCCTCTTCCACTTTGAAGTCTATGGTTATGGTCTCTGAGCAGACTGTAGACCAGTCTGTGACAGTCCTCAATGGACATCCCCTTCTGCTGGTGGATGAGCACACCATAAAGCATGCTTAAAACAACACATCACCCACCAGGTGCAATCAATGTTCTCCTGAGCTCTAGTTCAAAGGCCCTCCACAGGTTCTGAGCAAAGGGGCACTCCCAGAAAACATGCAAAGCAGAGTTTTTGCTGGTTTGTCACACCCTTCATCCCAAGCTTCTTCCAACATTCCTGTTTTTTTTTTTTTCAATCGCAAAGGTGCGTAAAAACAAAAACCTGATAAGTGTACAAAAAAAGGTGCAAGTGAAAAAACACCAACACAAAAAAGAGCACTGAGGGGGTGTGCTTTTAGTCCACCCCCCAAAGGGGGTAGAACCTCTACTCTGATCCTCCAGGGTGCAAGGCTCCTGACAGGGACAAAGGTTCCCAATATGATCCGCCTACCCAAAAGGCCTGGTGGACCCCTTTCCTTGTGATCAGCTGAAGCCGACCACCAAGTACTTGGTCCAGGGGCTTTCTCGAAGAGAGACCCCCAAAAGATTGGGGGAGAAAGGAACCTAAGGGTACCACATCCTCCCCCTAGATTTCAGGGCAGGCCCGAGGACCCACACCCTCCATCCAGTGAGGAAACAAAACACACACAAAAGTGACAAACTGTTGATAAAAATAAATAAACAATTAATTAAGTGGCTGTGCAATAGTGCACTGGCTAGGCCCTGAGGCCCGTAGCAAAACAAAAAATTGCCCTGGACTTAGCCAAAAGGCCTCACCCTTAAAGGCATAGTGCAGAAAAACTGTTTAGAACAGCTGACCATGTGCACTTTTCACACTTGGGATTCCACCCCCATGTGTTACTAAGAGTACCCCTGGAGCAACCACTCCCAGGGGGCACTGCTCTGCAGACTCTCTGCCTCCCCAGCCCCTGGCCAGACAAGGTAGACCTATTCAAATCAGGAGAGACTGGGCCCCTATGGTTTTCCTGGGGGAATTAATACAATTACCCAACAGCCTGTGGGAGCCTCGGTTTCTCTTTAAGCTAGTACTAACCTTCAGAGCCCCCATCATACCAGCAGAGGTACTATACAGCCAGCCATCCTCACCAAAAGGTAAGAATAATGGCAGAGCACCCCTACTGGACACTGATAAGAACAGATACTACACGTGATCTTAGCCAAAAGCATTCCTGTAATAGTAATGTTTAATACTACTTCTCCTCTCCTTAACCATTTGGATAACTTTTTCTCCATCACTCCGTCACCCGACTCGGAGGTAAGAGGGGAAGATGTTGGGTCTTCTTGTTGTCTCAGGCAGCATTGCCAGCCAGCTTGAAGATCTCAGCTGTCGAATGCTCCAGGACAGCATCCAGATAGACAGGAGCTCCAGCCCTGACCCTCTCGCCATAGTTGCCCTTCCTGAGCAGCCGATGAAGACTACTGATGGGGAACTGCAGACCAGCCTGGGATGATTGGGTCTTGGCCTGTAGCCTGAGCCTTGCCTCATTTTTTTTTTGCCTTGTTTTTTTTTGCTGTGACCAGACATGATTAAGTTACTGATGAGTCGCTCAGATGGAGAGCACCCGTTGTGGAGGATTAAAATAAATTTAATGAAGGGATCCATTAAATCTCTCAGTTGGGGGGGTTATCATTTTGTTTTTGATAACAATAAAGTTAACTTTAAAAAAAAGTTTTAAAAATTAAATAACAAAGTAAAAGCTAAATGCCAATATGTACAAATAAATTAGCATGATGGACGCACACATGTCCAAAAATGCCGACACCTATCCGTATTGCTGTGCTCGCCAAGGTGAAAGCGATAAATCTAGGACCGTCACTCACAGTTAATCCTGAAGTAATGAGCTGTAAAGGCTTTTAAAGCATTACCTCTAGACAATTTTGGCCACTGATGTTTGTCGCAGTTTCATGAGTGGACACAATGACATTTGGTATCTAAATACTTGATGTTACCTAATTTTCCAAATTTTACCAAAAAATGGTATTACATTGTGTTTGCCTGCACTGAAATAATTTTGTTTTAACTGAAAATATGCATTTTATAAGCAACTGCTGATGCTGTGTTACATAAAGCATTGTAACTGACACCTTTTCATTCTCTGGGGTCTCTGCTTTCAGAAAATATATAAGGTTTGGGGGTTTTGAGTATTTTTAGGTCTAATACGTGCATTTAACATATATGCAAAAACGAACAAAAAAAGCAACGAAGGGGTTAAACAGGAATAGCAAACTACAGAAAGGGAGCTGGGGGCTTTCTTTAAAACAGGGGAGGGGGGGGGGGGGGTGAGCGGAGATGTAGTTTTGTAGCGCCATCTACCGGCGTTAAACTGTAGTTCAGTGCAGTGACTGTAAGCTATACACAGTGCCACCTGTTGGTTGTTCGGCAGCTGCATACATCGCTTCTGCTGGTTATGCAGACGTAGTCCAGGCATCGCTGGATGTAATCATGTTGTAATCTATTGGTTTTAAATTATTTTGTAGCAAACGCAGACTGATCCTATTTCCACGGGAAGAGGACGTTTTGCAAAGAACATTGGCGTATTGTTATATAGCAGTAGGCGCTAGCTGTTGAAGTAATGCACAGCGCCATCTATTGGTACAAGCAGCATAGTGAACACATGATGAATATTACACAGCGCCATCTATTGGTATAAGAGGCATAGTGAACACATGATGAATATTACACAGCGCCATCTATTGGTATAAACTTGCTCTGCATTTACACAGCACGATCTATTGCAGGGGTGGGAACACGCGGCTGGCGAGCCGCGTGCGGCTCCGGCCAAAATGAATGTGGCTCTTTGCCTCTTATCATATTTTGTATACTGTGGCTCTTTGCCAAGTTTCTCTTATTTTTACCTGTTCCTCTATCCAGCAGCACGCTGTCTTCCGGCTTCTGTAGTGTGGGCACTGGGCATGACAGCCGGGTGCCAAGTGCGCATGCGCAAGAAGCGTTGCTTTTTGTGAATAGTAAGGCGGTACCTGGGACAAATGACAGATCCCAGAAGCCGCCGGACCAATCACAAAGCGCAAGTGCTTCTCGCTCATGCGCACTGGGCACCTGGCTGTCATGCCGAGCGCCATTACAGAAGCCGGGAAGACAGCGCGCAGCTGGATAGAGGAACAGGTAAGATCAAACAAAAACTCTGCGGAAGTAAGAGCGGGTACCTGTCAAATTCAGGTACCCGCTCCCCACCTCCCCAAAGGTCAGCAGTCATCTGTACTGTCCACAGTCTCTGGTCATCCCTGTGCTGTCCGCAGTCTCTGGTCATCCCTGTGCTGTCCGCAGTCTCTGGTCATCCCTGTGCTGTCCGCAGTTTGTCTGTTTTGGCAGGTCACTGCATGGTGTGGCTCTCTGACTTTCACAGTTTAAAATTTTGGCTCTTTGTGTCTAACTTGTTCGCCACCCCTGATCTATTGGTTGCACTCTGAATTGCAGCATTATGTACATTTGTTGGAGCATTCACAGTGCCTTCTATCGGTTTGTTTTCCTTGTTGCAGAACTGTAGTTGAGCACAGCGCCTTCTTTCGGTTGTTATCTGTATTACAAGTAACTTGTAATTTTTCTAAAGTCATCGCCATCTTTCGGTTGTTCTCTGTATTAGCAGCAATGTGCACTTTGTATAGATGCAACACAGCGCCATCTGTTGGTTGTGCAGTATATTGTAGCATTATGTACATGTAATGCCAGGGGACGCCAGCAAGTGTGTGCCAGGAGGAGGGAACTCAGGAGACTGCAGCGTCAGCTGCAGTCCCTGCAGGACCTTCATCACTGTGGCTGGGACGTTAGGCAAGACCTGGAAGACACCAAGAAAAGCTTGAAAAAGCACTTTGAGGAAGAATCCAGGCACATTGTCTTCCGTACCAAGGTGGAGCATCTAGAGAAAGGTGAGAAGTGTAACTCTTTCTTTTTCAGGAAACTCCACTCAGGACACACACCCCTGTCGGAGCTGCGCGACAAGACTGGAACACTCCAGAAGGGGAAGGAGGCCGTGATGGAAGTGGTCAACGACTACTACACCGACCTCTACTCCCCCAAAGAAACAAACACGTCAACAGCCGACAGATTCTTGTCAGGTATCACTAACACTATTGATCCTGCAGGTTTGTCGGCCACCAACACCCCCTTGACGTTGGAGGAGCTGCACTCTGCCGCTAAATCCTTTAGGCGGGGCAGGACCCCGGGCTGCGACGGTCTCCCAGCAGAGCTCCATGTAGCGCTGTGGGGACCTCGTGGGCCCGGACCTGCTCGAGCTGTACGAGGAGATGGTGGTGGAGGGCAGGATGCCTCCTTCGTTGGGGGAGGGGATGATCACGATCTTGTACAAGCATAAGGGGGAGAGATGTGACTTGAAAAATTGGCGTCCCATCTCTCTCCTGAACGTGGACTACAAGATCCTCGCCAAAGTCCTGGCTAACAGGCTGAAGGCCGTCATCGGACAGATCATCCACCCGAATCAGACTTGCAGCATTCCTGGCCGCAGGATTGCGGACAGCCTAGCGCCCTTCCGGGACACGGTCCAATACATCAAGGACCGCCGTGTGCACGTGGCCCTGGTCAGTCTTGATCAGGAAAAGGCCTTTGACCGTGTCTCCCATGGGTTTATGTGCAGAGCCCTGCGCAGGTTTGGTCTCGGGGAAATGTTTTGTTCGTATGTTGACATCATGTATAATGACATTTGTAGTACGGTGCAGTTGAACGGCTGGAAAACTGACCCCTTCCCGGTCCTCTCCGGGGTCAGACAAGGCTGCCCTCTTTCACCTCTGCTTTTTGTTTGTTTGTATAGAGCTCTTCGCCGAATGCATCAGACGGAATCCAGAGATCGGGGGAATCACCGTGCCGGGACCAGACAGAAGGGAAGTGAAGTGCTCGATCTACATGGACGAAGTGACGGTGTTTCTGTGCCAACCAGCGCTCCATCGACCTGCTCGTCCAGACCTGCGAGGACTTCGGCCAAGCTTCAGGGGCAAAAGTCAACTGCGGAAAGTCGGAAGTCATGCTCTTCGGAAAGTGGTTCCTGCCTTCTTCTGCATCCATGCCCTTTGGCATCAAGACAGACTTCATGAAAATCCTGGGAGTTTGGTTTGGTGCCGAGGGTGCAGCCCTGAAGTCTTGGGAGGAGAGACTGTCAAAGATGCGACAAAATTTTGGACTTTGAAGCTTCAGAGACCTCACCATCGAAGGGAAGACACTGGTACTCCGCAGCGAGATTCTCCCTGTGTTGCAGTACCTCACCTAGGCCTGGCCCCCACGGGTCAACACCTGTAAGGCCATCACCAGGGTGGTGTTTCACTTCATCTGGGGCTCCAAGATGGACACAGTGAAGCGGGCAATCATGTTCAAGGAACCCCTCAAGGGCGGTAAGGGTGTGCCCGACATCGCCACCCAACTGAGGGTGTTCTTTGCCTGCAACTGCATCCGCAGAACTTTGCCCAAAAGGATTATGGACTCTGGCGGGAACGCAATGTCACGCTTCTTCCTGTTGTCTCTCTGGAGGTCGCTCGGATGGGACAATTGGGACAGTTCCATCCCCTACAACTGGGACACCCCTTGGTACTACCTGGATACTTTCAAGTTTATCAAGGAGCAGGGGCTACAGGGAGTCAATCCTGACTTGTGGAAGCCAAAGATCATCTACAAACTCATCAGAGCAAGCGACATTTTGGAGTCGGTTCCAGGCCTGCCTTCAGACACCTGCAAGGTGGGTCTGGAGGAATGTTTCTTCAAACATCCTCACCAACAGGCACAAGGACCTGGCATGGATGGCAATCCAAGGGGGGTTGCCTCTCAGGACATTTATGCATGCTAGGAACCTGAGCAGATACAGACACTGCCCCTTCTGCATCATCCACGAGGAAACGGCTCATCACGTTTTCTAGGAGTGCTCTTTTGCTCAGGACCTGTTGAGGGCCCTGGAACCTGAACTCAAGGACTTTGTACCACAGACAGCCATCATACACTTTGGGGTGTTGAATGGACTTTTCTGTTGAACTTTTTCCCTGGAGGACATTGACAGCGCCTGGCGGGTGCTGTGTTGTTTTAAGGACGCTTTACGGTGCGCCAGGAAGCGCCTCATCCACCAGCGGGAGAGGATGTCCATTGAGGACTGCCGCAGACTGATCCTCAGTCTGCTCAGAGATTATACCTTGATGGACTTTAAGGAGGAAGAGGACGTCTGAAGATCTCCCCTTCCCCCTACTCCCCCTTGCGTGTCTTTGTCCCTTCAATAAAGCTTCAGCCTGTGTCCCCTTCTTTTTCCCTTTCCCCCCCCACACACCCGATGCTTATTTGTAAAGTGTAACATCCGTTTTTTTGTATGACTCAGTAATGTTAGAAAATGTTCTTTGTTTTAGGATGCTATGGTCTCGGGGTAAGCGGCGTTATGCATGACGTGTTGGTCTGGGGATTCGTCTGCCACGCACATCACGTCAGGCATCATACCGCTGAGTGAATGTATTTATCGTATGCTTGGAACTATATTGCAATGT